ATCAACTGTAATTGTATAAACCTTCTCAATTCCCCATTCTTCTAAACAATCCAGCAACTGACCTGCTATGGTATCTCCTTTATGATATGTGATCACCTTAAAGCTGAGAATTCTCTTCTGCAATTCCCACTCTGTATTAACCCAGTGACCTGTGATCACCCTGTAGTTGAAAGAAGTAATAGGACATGTCCATATGTTTGTAGTCAGTGACACCCTTTGTTTCTCAACACGAAACAAAGTCTTTAAAGCTTCCTTCTCTTCCAAATACATCCCAACTATGTCTTGACTGCATGTCTTTCTACAAAAGGTCTTGTACATAGGCAAGACATTGAAACAGAACCGCTTCCAACCCTCAGATTCTACAAATGAGAATGGCAACTCATTGACTACTACCATCTCATTAACTGATCTCCTAAACAAATGCGGATCATACTTAATCACCTTCAGATTCCCTTTGTTATCACCACTTAGAACCTTCCGATTTTCCTTATCTACCCAATCCTTGTAATGTTTGCATACTTTTATGTGACCAATCATTGGACTAGTACCAACCTTTTTTGAATCACAACCAATCTCTGCTAAACAGTACTTACAGTAGCTCTTAGTAGGATCTTCTCTCTGCAGAAAATGTTCCCAAATAGGAGCTCTTTTTGCATACTTCTTCCGGGGTTTGGGTGGCTTATCACCACCAGAGGCAGGCCTTGGACGTTTCTGCCCAGTTACATCACTTTCAACTTCTTTTGTCGTCTGAGGTTGAAAAGGAGGTTCAGTATCTTTCTCGACGTTCAAGTTCTCCTCTTCTGGCATCTATAGAATATATAAACAAAGTATAAACAAAAGAGGTTCAGTCATGCAATCTATAATCAATGACTTTCAAGTATAACAAAGGCCGAACCCTAAATTTCTGGACGAACAATGGAATCCAAAACCCTAACATTCTCACAATCGAAGATTTGAGTAACATTAGGGTTTTGAATCCCAATTAATCATCCAGATATTAGCAAGTCGACATTAGCTTATTAGCTACCAAGAAGAACGAAGAGCTGACCTCTAACACTTTCTCGGTTACAGGTTGGATTTCGGAGAAATGGGAGTAGAATCACGAAGGTATGAAGATGATGAATTGATGAAGCTAGGAAGATGAGATGATGTTTAGATCAGAGAATAAGGATGAAAACTGATGAGATTAGGGTTTAGGATTCCACTCTCTGTTTCGCATGCAGCAAAGGCGAAGAAGAAGAGAAATGAAATTAGGGTTAATGTCTTAGGATTAGGCTTATATAGGTCTGGTGCGAATGGGCTTAATATTGCTAATGGGCTACATAAAACCTAATATTGCTAATGGGTTACATAAAACCGATCGGGCCGATTACCGAACCGATCCGACCCGAAAACCGACCCCCCAAATAATTGATTCCGTTCGGTTTGGCCTCCTCAATTCGGTCTGTCCCGATAACCGAAAATTTTGGGTTCCTCGGGTCGGTTTGATCGGTTCTTACCGAAGTCCCAGGGCTAATATTCATGGTCACTTCCTTTGAAGAAACAACTTGTGATGTGTTTGAGCCCACGACATGATCAACATCATCATCACCAGCAGCCCACGAGTGTGGCCTTTGAGAATCCACAATTTGAGGGTTCTGCAAATTTAAACGCATCTTGACGAAGAAACTATTCTTCATTGATTCTTGTATATAGTCCACCGGTAAATTCATCGGAAAATCATCAATTCTCGAATTGATTCCTTGATTTTTGAGACGATCTCTAAGAATTCCAAATCCTTTATGCAAAGTAGTTACACCATGGATTCCGGGATCAAAAACTATAGTGAAACCTCCATACCATTGAGTAGGAGGACATTCACCGGTAACAAACCGGAAATTCCAACGACAAACGCCGGAAATAAACCTGCCATACGGAAGGACGACATAATGATTCTTTCGAATCAGCATCAAATCGACGCGACTTTGAGAAGCAAAACAATCACTATAGAAGCCAATCGATGCAACGCTTGTCAAACTCGGATCCAGAAATCCCAATGAAATCTGGGTGTTTTGAGACGCTACCCAAGCCAGAGATGGTGTCAGTATCGAGCCCATGAAACAAATTGATGTCATCGCACTCATATCTATCACCATCATCAATGAAAAGAGGCAAAGGACGAAAGTTTGTGATTCTGATTTTGCCATAGATAAACCTAAATCTATACAGGGAGAAGATGAAAAATAGAAGAGAAAGCAAAAAGCCGACCGACGCCGGAGAAGCAAGCGCCGGCCGTAATCAATGGCTGAAAGGAGAAGTTTTTGGCCGGAGAGATGTCTTTGGGGAAATCGCCCAAGGCGAGAGAAAAAACCGACTGTTGAAAACTTTATATATTTATTTATTGGCAATCAATATTTCGGAACGGGTTTATATGGCGGACGCATTTGAATCAATATTTATAAAATTTTAAAATATTATTAATATGCCACTTTAATACAAGTTAAATCCTCAGTTGATTAACAATTGTCTCGTGGACTCGTGGTATACCGTTACTTAGTAACTAATTGTAAACTATAAAATATTAATATTTTGTAAGGAGATATAATTTACAAAATTATATATACACTAACTTTACAAAATAAATTATCCCGCGGTGTACAGCGGGTTAAAATCTAGTATAATAAATAATCGCTAATTTTTGAAATTACTACTTTTATAAAACAAATCATGGGACGGATTAACAAATTACATAATAAGTTATATTTCAGAACTGGGTTATATGGTGGACGAGTTTGAATTAATATTTTTAAAATTTTAAAATATCATTAACATGCCGCTTTAATACAAATTAAAATCTTCAGTTTATTTAAATATAAATGTCTTAGAGAATGATACAATTTGTAAATTTTATATATATAATAAATAATCATTACATTTTAAAATTACTACTTTTAGAAAAAAAAATTACGGGACGGGTTAAGAAATTACGGGACATATTATATTTCGAACGGGTTTATATGACGGACGGATTTGAATTAACATTTATAAAATTTTAAAATATCATTAACATGCCGCTTTAATACAAGTTAAATCTTCAATTTATTAATAATTGTCTTATGGACTCGTGGTATACTAATACTTAATAACAATTGTAAACTATGAGCTATAATTTCAAAATTTTATATATACTAACTTAAAAAAATAAATTAATATATAATTTTAAAATCTAGTATAGTAATAAACCCACAACTACATATGTATAGCAAGAAAAAAACCCTCAATTATGTATTTAGTAAAAAAAATTTCTTTAACTTCAAATTTGTTAATGAAAATCCCCTTCCGTCTACAGTGTCGTGAAAAGTAAACGAACTACGGTAAAAATTAAACGTACCGTTTTTAAGAATTTCTCCTAATTGACTTCGACATCACACAAACTTCAAAGAATCTCCCTTTTTTAAATAGGGGATATATAATTGGGTATAAATAAGAACATCTTGTTGTTTTCGTTTATAGTTCGTGTTGTTTAAGTGTATATATGTCATCTTTCAAATTCTGAAAACGTTGCGTTTTAATTTAACTGTAGTCCGTCCAATTTTTACGACACTGTAAACAGAAGGAGATTTGTATTAATAGATTTTATGTTGAGATTTTTTTCACTAAATATATAATTATTAGGTTTTTTTTTTCGATTCATCTTTAGTTGAGGAGTTTTATATATATACAATGGTTCTTTTTCTGTTTTTTGTTGGGCAATTCCTCTAAAATACCATATATTTATAACTATCTATATATACATTTTTGGATCACAATTAGCAAATAAATCCTGAAGTTAAGAAGTATTTACAATGACATGCCATTAGCATTAATTATTTAGATTTGTTTTATTTAAGTAAAGATTTTTAATTGAAATTTATTTCTCATATATTTAGCAAAAGTCTCTACAAAATCTTTCCTTATCTATTTAAGTAAAGATTTTGAAATCAAATATGTTCTCAACAATTTACCAAAAATCTCTACACAATCTTTTTAAAAATCTCGACTTAGTTAACTTCTGATTTTTATCTGCAAAAAAAAAAAATTAATTGTAACGAGTGATGTAAAAATCGGGAATGTTGATACTTTAATTTCTTCTACTTCTTTTTTTCATATAATGAAAATTATTTTTTAGGGAAATTTTCTTAAAACCTCTAAAAAAAACAAAGAGTTTCAAAAGATAGCTTCTCTTTTGGCGGGTCGACCCGCAAATCCGCAACTCTCTACGGGCTTATCCGCATGAACCTGCGACCAGTAGTGGATAAAAATATTATTCAAAAAAAATAACAAATGATGTTTAATTTTACGGGACGGGGTTATATGGTGCAACGGGTTTAGATCAATATTAATATTAAACAATATACTATGGATGAAATTCTAGAATTAAAAATCAAAATTTAATTATAAAATCAGAAATACTAAACAAAATAAACAATATTAACAAAACAAATACAACTTAAAATTTTGCAAAATAATTTTTTAGTTATAAAAAAATCGACCCGCGGTGTATCGCGGGGTAAAATCTAGATTTGGAAGTGTAAGGAAGAAAAATCTTTTTTAAAAAATAATAGCTCCGCGGTGTACCGCAAGAAAAATATTTCTCTTAAACTGAGGCAAGAAGAAGAAGAAAGCTAAATATCGTTTAAGTGTATATAACTATATATAGATATACCATTTAAACCTAAAACACAATTAATATACTCAAAACTATTAATATAAATATATGGATGATACATTTATAAAATAGGTCGAAATATTATATTATACTCTCTATTAATAAACAATATTATAATATAGATATATGGATGGTATATTAGCCTTCCACATATGAAGGATATTTTGAGATCTTGTTTCTTCTTGGGCCAACCTTAAATTAAAATATTTTATATGTACGATGTACCCCTTATTTATACATAAAATGTCTACTCTTACATAACCATACAAAAATTATGTGTATGAATATAAATTATATAATTGAGATGAATTATTAAAGGGAGTAAAAAAGTGTAATTGAGGAGAAGGATTTGTCGGAACTCAGTGACTTTGTCTCAATGATTTCTGTCTTTGGTCACATCAGTTTCCTTATCTTCCTCAGGCAACTTAAGTTGCTTCATTTACTTCTTCAATTTTTTCTCCCTTTGCCTTTTTTCCATTTAGTTTCTCTTTTTGCTTTCTTATTTCTCTGTTCAAATTTTATTGATTGAACATACTTTTGACGTTTCTTTTATCTTTCCCGAGGATATCAAAATATTTTTGTTCACTAGCTACGATAATATTAACAAAGGAGTATCATAATTAAAAATTCGTAATTCGTAGAAGATGATGACACGTCTACATACTAATTAGTTTTCTTGATGTTGTAATATCAGAATTTACAATTAAATTTGATAACAGAAATTTTATAACCAAGAGTTTTGGAGTCGAAACCATGCATCCCCACTAGCCACTACTTTCGTAAAGTGCTATTTCTTGGTATGGTTCAACTTTGAATCTGGCTTGGTATCCAATAACATTTAGCAAGTAAAATAACTGGATCTATTTACGTTTTATGGCGCACGTGTGACTTTCCTTTGCCGGCAAGAGGTCTACAAGAAGATTCATGCTAGAGGGTCAGATGATGCTTTTGCATAGATTTAATATATTTTCAGAGGCATTTTCTATCCGATGGGTTCTCTCTTATCATCTGACGATTGCCACATATATCATTTTGTTATTTACCATAACTCCGATCGACTCTTAAATTAAATGAGCATGCATTAACATAGAATTTCTTGCAACATATTTCAGATAAAACCTTTAACCATAGACCTAGTAGCCATAACCTCCAACTCTTAAAAAATTATATGAGTATAGGTTTTAAGTTTTGTCAATAGGTATATTACATGTCAAATGTGTAGTAAAAATTAATATAACCTTCTTGTTTTTGTTTACTTTATAGACAACAGAAATTGTAAATATATCATACATATATGTATCTATAGACTATAGCTACGTCCGTGTGTATCTTTATAAATATATAATTCACGCAAGACACTCTCTCTATCTTTATCTCAAACTATGGATGAATGGGAAAGCGTTTCATGGATTGAAGAACCACTAAAGTGCCATGATCTAGGTAACACACAAGCACACGAATAATTATGTCTATCACTTATGTAGTTTGTTTTTAGTAAAGTATAACACTTATGTAGTTGCATTAATAATTTGAGATTGGCTTAGGACACAAAGGCTGTTTCAAGAAGATGAAGAAGATGATCTACAATTGTTCTGGTTCGTGATCAACTATTGACGCTATCTTAACCTGAGCTTTACTAATTGGTATATTTTCTGTTTGTTTTTTTTTTCTTGACCTTGTAAGACCTTTTCTCTACTCTTTTCTACCTTCTTACTATTCCTATCTTCTAGATTTCTCGATTCCGTCGAGTTTCTACATAATTTGTTTAATTGTTGTATACTCTTAGGATTCATATTCCCACTCTTTTATATATTCCTCTTGAGCTACCTAATTTTTTTTTCTCTCTCTAAACTATCTTACTATGTATTGCTTTAAAGAGATGTTTGTAAATACATTATAATGCGAATAACATAAAGAAAATGTGATGAGTAATTTAATTTGATGATATATGAACTGTGTTTAAATCACCAAGTTATGGTATCACCTATTGATGCAGGTTATGCATCGATTATTATTAAATATACGCTCGTTTCCTACTATCTCCAAGATTAGATAAGTCTATCCCTTAGCTTGATTTATGAGGACAAAAAATAAATAAATTAAAACCTGATTATTATAAGGAATAAACTTTGAAACATCCCCAAGGTTACCAAGATTTGCTACACTCAATAAGTGAATTGAAGCCCTAATGGGTCTAATCACGATCGATGAATTTATATTGGAGGGATAAGTGCTAGCTAATACATGGTTATAAAAAAATGTGTTAAATAATAACAATTACGAAAAAAAATTAATTATTTGAGTCGGATCTAGATAGAGTTGGTACCCGTCACTATAGTAAGATTCTATTTGGTGATTATGTATCAACATTGCATTTTAGAATTGATCTGTAATCGGTTTATAAAGTATACATACGTATTCACGTATTGAAATACATTGTATAGATGCTGGTTTCGTAGTATATGGTTTTGTAGCCGTATATGGTGGTAGATTACCTGACGCATGCGTTGACCTTAACTAGTCATTTCAATAATGAGGTGGATATATTGTGTCTCTCTTCAAATGTGTTTTTTTTTTTTTTGTTCACATCTTTTTTTTTTATAACTAAGTGTCCAGACTACTCTGTGATCCGACTAGCCCACTGGGCCTAATCCCGCGTTCCTTGGATTTTTAAGCCTCCACTTAAGGGCCCCTCGGATCTGGTGGTCTGGGACGCTGCGCCCCGTAGGTAAATTGCGCAGTGGCCGGGACTCGAAGCCGGGTGGCGGGTGCCTCAGCCGAGGTTCCTATACCACCAGGAGACAAGCACCCGGTTTTTGTTCACATCTTTCTTAACATGTGTATTTAGAAGAATCCTCCTTTATTTACTAGTTGTATTTTTTATATGTATACAATTTGGAACCTGAATTTATCACATATAAGTTTTGATAAGATACAAACAAATCTGGATCTCGAAGAGAATGTTAGCTAGTTCTCGGCCCAAAAACCTTTGAAAATGTAACTTAAAAAACATTGTATGTTGAAAGTAACTCGCAACCGTCTCTTTTGTGATGTTTTAAAATTGTAAGAACTCAAAATCCCTTACTGTATATATGTTTTTTTTTTTTTTTCATAAATATAAGGTTTTAGGAAAAACTACCAAATCTACCACATTTCTCCCAATTCTTTCCAAATCTACCACATTTTAAACTTCCTTTCCAATTCTACCACATTTGATATGGAAGTTACTATTTTGCCCTCCCTTTCTCTCTTTCTCTTTATTTTTATTTTTTAATTTTTTTTGTTTTCTTTCTTTCTCTCACTCTTCTTATCTCTCACATTATTTTTTTATTTCTCTCACTCATAGATATATATATATATATATATATATATATATATATATGTATATCTATGAAGTTTTCTTCTCACATGATTTTTTCTCTCCTACAAAATCTAAATCTGGGTTTGAAAATAGTTTATCAATTATATAGTTTTGGTCCACGACGTTAAATCGGCTACACATTTAGATCTGGGTTTCTTCTTATATGAACTTGTCCCCGATCTAATTCTATTACTCATTTGATCTGAACTTGTCCTCGATCTAATTCTGGTACTCATTCGATATTACTCATTCAAAATCTAAATCTGGGTTTGAAAATAGTTTAACAATTATATAGTTTTGGTCCACAGCGTTAAATCGTTGAAAATAGAATTAGATAAATCTGGCTTTGATATTACTTGTCCTCGATCTAATTCTGGTACTCATTCGATATGAACTTGTCCCCAATCTAATTCTATTACTCATTCTATATGAACTTGTCCCCGATATGATTATATTACTCATTTGATCTGAACTTGTCCATGATCTACTTTTATTACTCATTCAATATGAACTTCTCATTGATCTAATTCTATTACTTATTCGATCTGAACTTATCCCCGATCTAATTCTATTACTCATTCGATCTGAATTTGTCTCCGATCTAATTATATTATTCATTCCATATGAACTTGTCCCTGATATAATTATATTACTCATTCGATCTGAACTTGTCCCCGATCTAATTCTATTACTCATTCCATATGAACTTGTCCCTCATCTACTTTATTACTTATTCGATATGAATTTGTCTTTTATCTAATTCTATTACTCATTCGATATGAACTTGTCCCCGATCTAATTCTATTACTCATTCCATATGAATTTATCCCTGATCTAGTTCTATTACCCATTCGATCTAAATTTATCTCCGAGCTTAATTTATTTTTCTCTTCATATGTCCCCGAGTATTTGTTGGATCTTGCTGAAGACCTTTAAGGATCTAACTCTACTCTATTAATATATTATTTAATTACAATTATAAGTAATTATAAACGTACAACATTTATTGCAGTCTGGTCCCTCTTCTCCAGCCAGTACCAACTTGTCCTTTTATCTGACACAACCTTATATCACCATCAAGGGCAATTTCGTCCGCTATTTTGCATGTGGGAGAGAAATGTGGTAGATTTGGAAAGCTTTTTCAGAATGTGGTAAATTTGGAATGCCACATCTCTAAAAGTGGTAGATTTGCAAAGATTCCCAAGGTTTTAGGCTTTTAGGTGTATATACTATTTAATTATTTTAAGATTTTTTCCAGTTCTTCGGTTCTTCTCATACGGTTTTATTTGGATTTTTTTTTAACGTCTGGATTTATTATTTATTGCAAATTATGAGAACTGTTACATAGATGATTTTACAACAGACAATTTCTTCTGACCCTTATTAGATCTATGACAGACGACACCTTCTTCTTCATGCTCTTGACGAACACCTTCAATGATCCACGATGTGACGACACTTCTCTCTGCGTAGAATCCTGACGCACGGCCATAATTGTACATCGCTAGAGATCTCATGTACATGTGCCTCCATTAATCTGCAGATTTATTAAAAAATTGTAGCATAAAGAACTCGAACTCCTGACCTTTTGGTGTAGAAGCATTAACTAACCTTTGGTCAACCAACAGCTGTTTAGATTTTTAAAAATGAATATGTTGATTTTAACCAAATAATACGAAAATGAATCCGTTAGATCTATAGTTGTAATGAAAACTAAAAATCTCTCGTCACGTTTCACTTATCTATCGTATAATCTTCAATTTAGTGAATAACAACATCTCAATATTTCGATTTAGTTAAAAATCTTAAACTAAAAGAGCTATATTATAAAATCTAGTATTATTGACAACTAAAAATATCAATAAAGGTTTTGCATATTGAATATATAATTGAAATGAACGATCTACCAGATTCTTACATTAGAAAAAATATAAAGTATACCACCAAAAATTTAGATTCCCACACTGACCACACAAATGAGTTCTTCTAGATGTTATCAATATTAAATATTAAACATAAGGACTTGATTTTAAATCATTAATCGAATAACCTTCTTTAACATATATATATATATATATATATATATATATATATATATTAAAAAAAAAAAAAAAAAAGAGGATACATATGGATCCCAAGTGTCACTTGAAATTGTGATTTCTAGGTTTTGTCTTAGTATTTTTTTTAGTTGAACTCCCAATCGTTAGTAACCCTCTTTAAAATTTACATAATTGCATGTCGACGCTCGACGGTATTATCTTCTACTCTAAAATATTTTTAATATATCATAAAAAACTATCGCAAAAAATATTATTTTCTGTTTTTTTTTTTTTTTTAACATCTAACATTCTTTATTAGTTCACAGAAGAGTTATACAAATAATGTATCAACCACGACGGTGGTGAATTGAAAACATGATACAACTCAAAAAAATATTATTTTCTGTTATGCTCTTTATTAGAGAGATAATTACATCATTACGAATGGTAATTTAGTAGTTTTTACAATAGATAAATACAAATTAATATATAAGTATTATTTTTTCCAAAGTAAATTCACTATTTGGAATTGGAGCAAAAAAAAAGAGAGAATATATATAGTAGTTTTTAGAAAATAATTGAGGGAGGAAGACGATATCGTTTGGACGACGTGTTACAGTGTAAGAAAGGAATTATCTGGATAATGGTGGGATCGTCCGTACAATAATGGGGCTCAATTAAATATTAAGGATTTGCACGCGTTAATGGTGGAAAAATAATCATCACTAAGCATATATTTTAATAGTAATTAAATTCATAATTATTACATTCTTCCAAGAATAATCTCCTCAGTGGCCATCTTAAAGCTCAGACATTAACCATTGAGACGTCTCTACGTGGAGATAAAATTATAAAAATGACAAAAAATTTGGATTTGTCTACTTTTGAACCCAAAGCCTTTCACACACTTCGGTCCCCTTTTTCCCATATGCAGGTCCCATAGACATGTTTCCTAAAAGCATCATGAATCGGATTATCCATTTTTTTTTTTTTTTTTTTTTTTTTAAACCCTATCGGCTGATCCGGTCGGCTTTGATAGGAACGCACCGAGGTGCTACAGAGTGGACTTCTCCCGATCTAGGTAAAATTGGGCTACCACACTGCATGATCCGAGTTTGGAATGCCTTCCGACTAATGCTAGGGGGTAGTCAGGCCGCCTGCATTTCTGACTACCAGGTAAACCAATTGGGCCAAGGCCTAACTGACAGACTTCCCAAACAAATGTGTTTTTGTTTCCAGGGAAAATCGAACTCGGATCTAGGAGTTTCATCCTTCATCAAAGCTTTCTCTGCCACTAGACCACAGATAAAGTCATTAGATAAATAATTTTCATAAGTTATGTTTTGTCTGCTTGTGTGACATATACTGGTTTAATTAACTATAGTATGAAACTTGGACGTGGAACCAATTAT